AAGGCCCAGAAAGGGATGTACCCAAGCTGTAACTAACCAGGACAGACATTTTCCCTGCTAGAGCTGGGCACTGTGGTGTGTGCATAGAGCCAAGTTCCTACTGCCATCAAATATTCTGCAAAATATTTTGCACAAATGTCCAAAGTGTGTGTTAATTATACTGGACATGATATGCACAAGTATATACACTTACATATATATCTATATCTATCTATCTATCTATATCTATCTATCTAGCTACATAACCCTACATAAGTAAGCCTTTCCAGTTAGCTGCATCTAAGCCAATGCTAGCAATCCTGAACAGCATTAATCATCTCCATGAAAACTAAAAACGAATGAGATTCTGCTCTTGAGGAAATAATTCAGAAGATATTTTGACCAGTGCTAGCAACATTAGCTGCAAAGAAGGGAACTCTAGAAGGGAACTCTAGAAGATAACACAGAATTTTGCAGTGTGCAAATGTTAAAGAAATAACAAATTATTTTCTAGATTACAGTTTTATTAGCCCACTTGATTCAAGTATTGCACGAGCATTTTTTTTTGCATTCCTAGTATTCACAAGGTGCTGCTAAAGAGAAGGATTTCAATGTACCCAAGGAGTTTACATCCCTTTCCACAGACTCCTTCATTATCCTCTCTAGAGTGAGAGCATCTTCCTCTGGGGCTTACGAAAAAAATTCTGAGTATCTTACTTCTGGCTTTACAAGAGACTAAGATTGCATCAAATGACTAAAAAAATTCTCCCAGGATCCTTAATACCAAGTCCCAGCTTCAAATGATGAAAATGGAACCCTTTGCTATGCTGTTTTACACTCAGTAATGCTTTCCAGAGAAGGTAAAAGTGTCACTTCAAAACTGCGAAATGCCAGTTTTAACTTGCAGCTTTCCTGTCTGGTTATAATGAAATTCAATTTACTCCTAAATAACAGAAACAATGTCCTCAAGGAACTGAATTATTACAAATCTGGGAGAGTTTTCTTGTTTAAGGCCGCAGGCAAAATAACATGGGTCTAACACTTCACAGACATTGCTGTGTAAAAATATCAAAATAAAAAGACAGTGATATACCTGGAGCTAAATCTTTATATCCTGGAAAGTCAAGAGGGTCTTAAATATTTTATCAACTAGAAGTGGACAGGAAAGATCAGTAAGGTGCAATTATAAAAAAAAGTAACCAAAGCCAAGTATTTTAAAAACACTTGTACTAGCTATTCCAGTATCTTTCAAATTACTTTAGAATTATTTTCAATACAACTACTTGTTTATTTCTAAGGTGTTAACTGGATAAAAGTTATATTTAGTTAGTCAAAACATCTGTAAGAATTTGTTCCAATTTCCTGTTTGTATCAGGGTTCTTTTTAAAATGTATAATTCAGTTTGCATTTTAATCAAAGCATGGATTCTAAAACTTTAGAAGTTTTCTGCAGAACCAAGGAAATGTCTGTTATGTTAAAATGTTTATATAAATAAATATAAATGACACCTTTGTACTTATGATATAAATATATATGTTTTTGTATATACTTTGTAATACCTAGATTAGCACTTTAATGTCAGCTAAATTTTGTTTCTCTAAACTGTTGTTAAAAACAAACACCCCCTCCTCAAGGCCATAATCCCTCCCTTTTTGCCAAACATATATCACAACTACTTCACAGGTACATTTTCCAATGACAGATTTTCATGTATAAATAAGGAGAGGAAAAGAAAATCTGGTAGCCAAATAGCCAAAATCATTATCATAAACGAAAACAACAACAACTGAACAGCAAATTCTCTTTAACAGATGGGTTCACCTGAGCTATCTAACAATATCTAATACTCAGAGCTATGTTAAAAGGCTAAATTATCTTTTCAAAACGGGTACAAAAATATTCACACAAAAGGGATTTTTTTAAAGGAACAGATGAAACAAATTAGATGAAGCATGCATAGTTATCTAGTGACAAAAATAGAATAGGAAAGTAATTAATAACAGTATCTATATTGAATATTTACAATAGGATGCCATTATTCACATATAGTGGTACTTACATCCCTGTACAGCCAAATCTACAGCCCAAACCAAAGTCAGATGTGAAAGAAAGCACAACAATGTCAGTGAGTACTAGGACGTAGAACAAGGAAAGTGTACATTTTGTTCTTAATAAAAGAAAGCTTTCAATAAATTTGTAGGCATAACATGCAATAGTTTCAAATAGAGAAGCTGGTAAATTGAGAGGGAGAAAGCTGTGTAATCCACTCACATCTATGTAGTTGGCATTAATGTAATCTGAAGATGGATCATCTTCAACAGGTTGCAAAATCACCCTGGAGTGGTCATCTGTAAAAACCAAGTGGTTATGGTGCCTTTTTGAAGTGTGATTTTTAAGTAAGATATTACGGAAAGTCGTCTAGAAAACCAGTATTAGCTGGCATAAGCACCTAATAATTTACAACCCCTAAACGGTCACTGTTTACACAGAATTATAAAAAAAATAAATTGTCTGAGGTCTCCAATTACTTCAGAAACATTTACTAAACTTCATTAAGTGTAGTTGAAAGGTATCACAGTTACGCATGGTTAAAAAGACATAAAGAAACCAAGTTACTTGCTCAAAGTCCCTTTCAAAATTAGATCCACTGATGGAAATCTAGAAAACAAAAATAATGATTACTGTTTCCTTTCTTCCGACCCCAGCCTGCTTACATTTGTACTGAGATGTTAAAAAGTAAGTTAGGCATGCTCAGCAATGCACTATGGATCTGATGAAGAGGTAACTCCACCCATTCAGGGACTTCTCCAACAGCTTCCCTCCTGCACGTTTGATCACCTTTGTAAAACTGTACAAACTGCATTATGCCAGGGGATGAATCTAACTATTGAAACTCTACGCCTAAAGAACAGAGACAGAACCCACTGTTTTTGGTCACATCTTTCAATCATCAGTTTTACACAACTGCTATTCAGGAATATCAGCTATAAATCCCATGGAGTTAGAAAGTTTTGAAGCTGTCAGATTTACCTGAAATAAATTATAACTGTAGAAAACTGCCACAGCATTTACATCCAAATGACTGCCAGCGTGTCCCTCTTACAGGCTTTCCACAGCTCGCACAACAGAGATGCAAATACAAAATTCAGCCCGAGTTATAAAAGAAAGTTCAACTTTTGTGGACAAAGAAAAAATGCTGGAAAAGGCACTGTCCTCCTTCTCTGTGTGGGATATTAAGCAGCTACGGCACTTGAGACTTGTAAAGAGAGAATATGGCATGAGTAATACACGACTCCAGCTACTGCTCAAACCACGCACACTGATACTCACATGCTATAATGTTTCCATAGCGGTTCTTTGTTCTGTTTTGATCCTTCTTAGCGACATCCCAAGAAGCTGACTGCCCCTCAAAGAAACTCTATAAATAAAAATGTTCCGAAAGAAAACATTCTGACCATTAATTTATCTCCAAAAATAACAGTTTAAAAGAACTTCCCTACTACAAAGTAAGCTCAGCTTTGCTCGTTTTCTCTGGTCATCCAGACAGCACCATGGTATGGAAATGTATCTAGAGAAGGAGGGAGGCTCTCTCCTTTTGAGTGCTGTGGGTCAATAGGCAAGTCACTGAGGAACTCTGGAGGGATTTCAAATCCTGGAATTGCCAGAAGGCTAAACCTGCTCAGACATCCTTGCTATGGAGGAAGAACAGTAAGCTCAGAAAACACAGGGAGACCGGTCACCCTTTTTACAAGACAGGATAATACATAGCCTGTTTACTACAGCATTACATTGTTTTCCTCATGTTGCTTAGTTAAATGGCTTTTATCCCTACAGAGCCACCAGGAAGCCTCCTCTGCCAATGTTTATTGTTAATGTTGTTTTTCCTCATATCCCTCCCTCTAGCCACTAGCAAAATCATGCTACATTTTTGAACTCCTCTTAAGAGTCTGATCTCTCAGTAGTGATAGAGGCAGCTTTTATTGCTCCTTGGATTTTTCTTCGTTGCCTGTAGATATTTTACAGCTGTTGTAGGTCTATGCTATTCTTTCCTTCCAGATGCTCTCTTATCCTGCCTTGGGTAAGTTGGCTCTAGAAAGTACACAGTAGCCACAGAAACAAAACTTCAGTGCACACTCAGAATCCCAAGCAAGGGAAAAGATGTAATGTATGGAAACAGAAGAAGCAGCAAGTAGGAAAAAACCTGATGTGCCATCAGGAAGCACCCTCCCCCAGCAGTGGTTGACACTTGGGCTTAGCCCTGAAGTTTGACAGAGCATAACAAAGTGTATTTAAGTAAAAGAGAGGAAAAGAGAATAATATTCTTTTAAAAAGCACACATTTATTTATTCCAGTTCTTATGTTACAGTAGAGACAGCTGCAGAAAGGAGAGAAGGTTGAAAACTGAGTCAGAAGAGATTATTTAGAGAAAACTCATTTTAAACCTAGCTGTATTGCGTGCAACCTCGGCAGTGCCATTCCCAACTTTGCTGTGTGTCCTGTCTGATATTCTCATCCCAAAGAATCACAACAAATTCAGAGATCAGAAGCAAAATGAATCTGTACTCATCTTCTGCCTCAAGTGCTGAGAAACTTTTTGCTTCCATTTTAATATTAAAGTTGTAAGTAGACATGTTTAGGCAAGTCTAATTACATCATCAAGAAGTTGTTAACCTCAGCACATCTTTACTGCTTCTCAGCTAGCGTTTAGTCTCACTATTGCACTACTGAGATGCTATAATAAATAATGAGAGTGCTTCCAGTCAGTGCTTCTTGCAAAACCAGCCAGGTTAAACCTTCACCTTAACCTAATCCAGGAGACTTGTCCTGAAGATGGCTTAGACATCTCACATAACTAATTACAGCAATTCAACTAAGAGGCAGCAACAAAAGGGTGGCAACTTCATGCAATACATCAAAAAGATTCAGTAGGGCATGTCTTCTTATGCCTTAAAAGAGTACAGACAATGTTTTTTACAGGCACTTCTAAGGGCTCAGACCATTGGATTCCACTTTCTATTTCATTTTTTGACTACTTCTATAGGAATCTTATGCCTGCTTACCTGTATCTGTTTTTCACTTAAACCCATGATATTCAGTTGCATCCTTTTGCAATGCACTGCAAACAAAAGGCTGCGACTTTCAAAGTGATTTTTCCCAGCAAAACCCCACCACTGAAGATCTCACCTCATACTCCTCTTTAAATCCATAGCTGTCAGAGGTCTTCATTAGGTTAATATGCTGCAGCAGATCTGCCACCCTGATGGCAGGATGCAGCTGCCCAGTCTGGTATGGAGATTCTGTGCCTTCGCAGAGGTAACGGGGAACATCCAAGAGCCGGCTGGACTCTGCTGTTGCACTGTGGTTTTCATCTGTTTTCACAAGAAATCAATGCATTAGGTTCCTGCAGGGCAATAACACCTGCTGCTATAGATATAAACATCTATTCTCAACCTCTTCCCTCAAAAACATGTCTAATTTCTGAGAACACAAAGCACTCCAGCACATAAATACTTCGAAGTACATAAAGGTATTTAACTGCAAACACATACAAAAGTTCGCAATCCTTCATCCTACAATAAAGATGTCTGAAGGGCATTTTATTTGAAGCTACAAAACTTTATGACACTAATGTCTTTGGGAACTCAAGCCTCTATCACCCAAAGTAACTTTTTTAATGGCTAATACCAACAGCAAAACAATAAATTGGCATAAGTCTGTAGTAGTATCAGTACATCATTTGTTTAAAGCAAACAAACAGTAAACTGAGATTCCAGGAAAAAAGAGAAGCAATTATGCTACCACTTCAGAACACCATCTCCATTTAGGAAGACTAATCAGCACTTCAGAGTGTTCATTTCAACCCAGGTCTTTTCATAGAGAGATGAAACTGTTTAGTGTGCTGGTTTCAGCCACAGTTTTTGCTCTGCATAAACAAAGAAGTCTCCCCTACTGCCTACATCATGCCAATTATCTTATCAAAATCAAACCTACACGATCACATTTATTCAATGCTTTCTGTGATTTTTTTAAAAATTATTATTATTTTTTAGTTAGCAATCTGCTGTTCAAACAACTTTACAGAGGACAAAAAATTCTAATTGAAACCTTTTTGGAAAGTAGCTACCGAAATAAGAAATGGTAGTTGATCCCTACTACCTTTCTTTGAAAGCAGTTTACTATTTTCCTTGCAAAGGAACCAGATTAGGAAGAAAAACACTCCAGGAAAAAAATACGAAAAACGCAAGGTTGGATTTTCTCCAATTCTACCAAAATACAAACCCCTTTAATGCCTTCTGAAATCAGATCTCTTAGTAGGAAACCTGATTCTTTGAACTGTCACACAAGTTGCTAATTTCAGTACACTTATGCCTCACTAAACTGCCTAATAGCGTGTGTGACATGCAGCAGTCACTTTTTATTGCAGTATTACGGATTTTAAATCATGCACATTTCAAGCCACCTCAGGATTTGCAATTCTTCCCATTCCTTGCAGTATACTTACCAGTAATAGGCACTTTAACCCATTGAAGCAGCAAAAAACAATGAGTGAACAGAACATAAGAAATTTATTTCAGGACTATATTAGAAAATGACTAAAAGAAAATTATTTTAGAAAGTTGTTAAAGCTTCACAATAGGTAACAATGAAAGTCATTTTAAAAATATAAGGGACACATTATTATGTCATCATTGTAATGATAGGGACTTGAGAAAAGCAAAATTGTCATACTAATGTAGAGCTAATGTACACAGAATGGAAACTAGTGTTAATAACCTATTCATGAAGTAAAAGAAACGTAGTACAGCTACAAAGCAATAATATAATATAACATGTTCTGTAATTTAGAGTCCATGGAATTTTGCTCATCTCTAAATAAAAGAGGAAAACTGTTTTGAGGTGCTGGGACAAGTAAGGGCTAGAAGTAGGCCAAATGATCTATTTCCAAAGTAACAAGTTTACTAGCATTCAACCCCTTCTACACGGTGTGCCCAAAAGCTTGTCTACTTCACTATTTCAGTCCAAGCAATGAAAAAACATTACCTCTTCCAACTATCACTGCTTTGCTTATACAAGGAGACTATCATGCCCAAAACACCACCACCAGTAGACAGAAATACAGACAGGAACTATTGAACTGTTCTTCAATTAATCCCTTGTTCTTGGCTGCTCACAGCTGCCTGTCTCTGCATCTGCCACAGTGTAGTGACAACTAACAGACTTGGGAATATGCTTGAGAAGTATCAGCAGACAGTATCTATGTAGCTTGTAAGTGCCTGAAATAAAGCTAAAAGAGCCAAGATCTTAGAAGAATTTCAGGAAAGGCTAATTTTCTATGACTTTAAGGCCACTGGTGATTTGAGAAGTATTCAGAATTACTGAGTCTACTTCTGTGCTCTTTCAGGAAATAATGCTATTTCACCGTCCCTCATAAACTTCTTAAAACACCTGATTAAGTTTCCTTGGGCCCAAAGTTGAAGACTCCAGCATTCAACTGCTCTGATGGTAATAAACTTTCCAAGAAAGTACTGTAGTCTAGAGGATGGCATTTGCATCATTACCAAAAAGAAATGGGCAGAGTATGACTTGATAAATCTCCCACACGGTGAGTATATTCCAGCTTAACAAAGACCAAATACTACTCACAAATACTGATTTGCTGTCAGTCTCAGAAAACACTTTACATGAAGATCTGCAAAGGCTCCTCCTGGGTATGCTTTCTATCAATATTTTTACCCACATCTTGCATAATGAGCTAGAAAATATCCTGACAGTATGAGCAGAGGGCACCAAGCAGTAAGGCACCACTAGTATTTAGTAAGTGAAGGATCAGATTTCAAAGTTATCTTCATTATTTGGGAGACAATGCAAATAAAACCCAACAAACTGAATTAAACATTGAATGCAGCATACTGTGTGTAGGAAAGGGAAGTCAAATATATAACTACAAAATGGAGTAATGGACTGGATAATGATAACTAGGATTTTAGCAGGTGGCTTTATACAAGTCAGCAACACAAGTGCAATAAAAAAGACAAAATACAGTTTAGGTATCAGGATCACTACCAGCAGGGCATGGGGGTACCTATTCCACTCAGTTCAGCATTGGGACTTGTTCTAAGAACTGTACCTGATTTGGGGCACCACATTTAAATAATTCCACCTATGAGTTGTGAAGTGTTCAGAGGAAAAGAATGTTAAGAGGTTTAGAAAACATCACCTACAAGATGATGACTGAAAGGATTGGCATTAACTCAAGTAGGAGAGAGACAATTGAGGAGACATGAGCCTTTCAGTGGGTAAAGGACAGGATTGTAATAGCTGTCTGTATTTTCCATAAGTCTCTCAAAAGGAAATGGTTGAATTCACAGTAATGAGGACGTAGTCTAGATTAGTTCAATTACGGAAAAAAAAAAAAAAAAGACTGAGCATTAGTAATAACCGGTAGTAACACTCAGTTAGTAGTAACTAGCACTCAGTGAGAAAATTGAGCTTTGGGTCCCAAATCATACTAACTTGGATTGGAATTTCATTTCTATTTAGGAGGAGGAAGGCACTGGAACACACCACTGCAAGAGCAGAATTCTCTTTGCTACAAATTTTTAAAACACAGTGGACTGCCAGAAAGAGCCTATATTATTCACATTATGTCCCCTCTCAAAACAGAGGAGGGACTAAACTGGGTCCAGGTTCCTTCAAGCTTTACTTCTAGAAATCTCATTTTGTATTCATGTCCACTTCCTGATATTTGTCTTTTATCCTAAAATAATCTCAGCAACTAACTGAAACTCAGTACTGCACATTGCTTTTAACAAACGAAGAACTCAGGTATAAACTATATTTTTAGCTTTTATGTAGAAAAACCCCAACCCTCTAACACCTGCATTCAGTGTCAGATGTGAGACAGGAGTAAGCAGCCTGGCCACTCCCAACATCCATTCTTCTTTTTACATTAAGTATGAAGTACAAAAATGTACTTGTTGAGGTTATATGAAATATGAAATTAATATAGGTATACATATATCTGTATAGAATATCTGTACAGAACCTACAAAGCTGTTATGTGGTTTTGGATATTTCTGAAGTTTTTCCCTCTCTATTTCTATTTTCATTCTTGTTATTTACTTAGAAAACTGAGCTTTGGGTGTCACACAATGCTAATATGCAACAGCATTTTATTTTTGCACATGTCAAGAGAGTTCTAGTTTCATACGTTATTTCATTGCAACTCGTTTTGAATGCTCTGGAGAGAAAAGCTTCAGTATTTTCCATTTACCTATTTCCTCGTTTATTTATTCTTCACTCGGCATCGACTAGGAATAATTTATAATGAGAACATACAATAATTTTTATTCTAAAAGCAGTGTCAGTTTAATTCTGAATTGATAAACTGAGTGTACAGTTATTTTCTGACAACAGCATAGCTATCTCTTACATAAAACAAGCTGTTTCAACGTTCAACCATGCAAGGAGATGAAACTCATGCAGGAATGGATAATGAAGGACTAGGGTCCTCACCTAACACAGCTGTCGGCACAAGTGGATCATTGGGCACTGTAGGAAAACAAAGCTCATGAAGAAATACATTACCCTCAATTTGTGTATTTTTTAAAAATAAAAACAATACACTTCAGTGTATAATTCAGTGATAAGTAAACCCCATTAATTTTGTTACAACAGAAAAACAGAATGAATACACAGTTTCAGAAAGCATTCTGAATAAAAGAGGAATGAAAGGCAGTGATTTTGGACTTCAGAAATGTAATGATAAAGGCAAAGAGATTCTTACTGAAACGAAATATAGATGAGATTACATGCAATTTAGTTTTTGAAAGGGCTCCTCCTTCACTATTGTTCTTTTCCTTCACAAGAAAGGCTCACTTTCATAAAACCAACTCGTTTCCTTTTAAACTCATCCTCTCATGTAATACTTGAATAGCTCATCTCAAAATAAAATGGTATTTCTTTAAAGTCATCCAGGTAATTTTAAAAAATTATACACGTATTTACAGTTAATAGCTTTTTTTTATGTCCCATGCCAAAGAAATTGCTCTTAATAAGTATAGAAAAATCACAGATATACAGATACAGACATTTGAATAAGATTAATAGAATTTTATAATTTGTTATCACAACTAAAACTGTGCAGATACAAATGCACTGTTTCTGACAGAAATGGTCGAATCCAGAATTTGGTTTTCTTCAAATCTGGAACAAAAATTAAAAAAAATTAACAACTCTGTGACAACTTTGAGCTCCAGTTCTCTAGTCATTTGCCTAAAATTTTGTCACACAGCAGGCAGTCCCAGAAGCTTGGAAGGTTCTTTGCCTCAGCTCAGACAACGGTCAGGAGAACTGAATGCTCAACACCCAAAAAATCATATACCTAGGACTCTGGAAAACAGCGATGCCAAACTCCTTTGCCAACCAAGCCGTACAGCTGTGGTGGCTGAGGCTCGTGGGCTCTTGATGTCACCCCAGTCCATCTGGAAGGCTGCCCAAGTGCCTGACAGCCCCGGCTCTCTAATAGCCACATAGTTCCTGATGGATGCTTTGCCTGGGATCTGCCATAACTCAATCCAAGCTGCATTACCTTTTGCAAACATGCTTCCACAAATTTCAGTGCCAATAAGACATCAAACTTTGGAGATTTTTCAAACACTTCCAGCCAAAACTGTGTAGGAAAACTCACGGACTGAATATTGAACTCCCATTTCTTGTAGGTTATGAGACACTTAAAACGATAGCGCTCTGTAGTTTGGCAAGCTTCAGTAAATTGAGGAATAAACCTTCCTCCAAATTCCATTTCCCCTGCAACAATCATGAAAGAACCTAAGAGCTTAAAGGCATGTATTTTGCTCAAGCATGGTAAGTAGCAACGGAAGCAGGAGAAAGGAAATGGAGTGTTGTTCCCAAAGGATGGCAATTCACAAGCAGTTCAGGCTTCTCAGATCGGTATAAAGCCAAGGCACAAGTCCATGTGGCTGTAAGAAGGTCTGGGTCCTGCCAGTTCCTTTGCAGAATTTTATCTTTTTGGTAAATTACACACTAGTTTTAAAGTATTCAGAGTCTGCCAGTAGAGTATCTTTGGTGAAAGGCACAGTGCAGATGCTGGGAGACAGGTGTGTTGGGCAGTGGTAGCTATAACCCAGACACTTAACAGCTAGAAACCCAAACTGCCAAACTTTGTCAAAACCAGACAGCTGGCAAGACTACAAACAAAAAAGGAAAAAAAAAAAAAAAAAAAAAAAGAAAAATTAAATCCCCATTGTTTGCATCCAGCTGTTAAAATTTTATGATACCGAGATCACAATTTTGCAAAACCAAAAAGCTGGCAAAAGCAAAAAAAAAAAAGGAAAAAAAAAAAAAAAAAAAAAAAAGGAATACAAATATAGAGCAAATCTGCAGATATATTAACAAGCTTGTTCCTAAACTTCATAAACAGCAATGAAAATTTTCAGTTTCCTTCTGTTATAATGTCCTTATTGCCAAAAGAAAGAAATAAATTTGGACCTCACATTATTACTCATTACGGACATGGTGTTGTGCAGCAAAATTTAACATCCTGGTATTAAATATCCTCTTGAGGGAAAACTCCATTTGAGATTTTAATTGAGACATTCCAGAAGTGTAATATTTTCCCGGGAACAAGTATCAACACATACTAAAAGTATATGTAGATATTTAAATAATTGGCCACATAGCAATAAAGATAGCGTACAAACAAGCCTACTCAACCTTTGGGTTAACCAGTGTTCCTAGAAAACCTGGATTGTTTTCCAGGTTTCTATATTTGCCTATACTCCCAAGTACCTATCACTGTTGTACTTACATCTGGGACTGAAGTTATGAGAGTCCATAAATGTGATGGAAAGGGGATCTTCAGCATGCAGGGTGCTCTGGTCAGCATAACTCCTATCCATTGCATTCACCATGTGTGTCATCTCCTGGCGGGTGGTCCCCATGGCATCCTTGCGCTTCTTTGCAAGTTTGCTGCCCAGCCAAAAAAAATAAACCAAACTACCTTAATATTTGATGAACATTGATGTCTACAGTAATTGTTATCTATAATCCTGACTGACTGAAAAGTTTGGTTGATTTTCCTGTGTGCAACTTTTCCAGCATGAAATTGATAAAACTATGCACCCTGCTATGAAAGAGTCGCAATCCTGTGCTTTCTGCACACACACAAATGCTGCAATGGAAGTGCTAACTTACATACCCTGGTAATATTTTTTTTTTTTTTTTCCTGCAGAGTAATTACACTAATAAAAACAAATTAGAGAATATAATTACATTTTAACTGAAATTATAAATAAGAAGCATCTGTGCATGCAGTTTGATCAGCCATCTCCATTTAAATCTGTGCTTTGATTTTATAAATGGGTAATTCATTCCCATTGCTTGCCTTGTTAGGAAAAAAATATTTAACCTTCCAAATTAGTTAGTAAAAAAAAGAAATAACAAAAGAAACATAATTATTGAATATAGAGTCATATTACCTTTTGATGTTAAAAGTTGTTCTTCCCATTCAGTACACCAGATACAACATGATACCACACTTTGTTTCTGATACCAAACTTCATTTATTTAAAAACCAAACAAAACCTCCCTCACTACTACCCTTTTATGCAGTATGGGAACATCTTAAACTTTAACATTAAAGATCTTACACTCTGGATGTATCACAGTTAACCAGTAACCTAATCTGTACAACTAATCCCCCTGAATTAGCATTCATTGCCCTTAAAATACACACTTTAGAGATGTGGCTCAGTTCTTTAATTTTGATGAAGAACTGGAAGGGATTTTCACTATCTCTAGAAGTCAGATGGAAACAGATTTTTATTTTATTATTTTTTTTTATCATTTAAAGCCTACTACTCTTAAAGCATATATCTCAAGTAGTAGGAAGAATGCAGAGCAACACAAAGTGCACCTTGGTTCTGCAGTAACCTGTGACATACATACATTAGACTGCTTTGAAATCTCCCTGTTTTCATCTGAAGCTGTGACTGCAGTACAACAGAAAGCCAACTTGCTTATTTGAATAAATCTGACACCACAAGAGAGAAACACAATTGTCACTGAATATACTGGATTCTTGAAAATGTATGTTTGAAACACAGCTTCACAAGGTTTTTCTGCATAAAAGATCTAAATCCTGCTAACTGTTTAGACAGTGTTTATCTTACATTTCTCTGACTAAAAGGACTGCTTGCTCTTCCTCTGTTCTCTGATAACTCTATGATTCTGTGCCACACTCAAACAGCAGAATGAAAAGAACAGTAGTATAAATTATCCATCTTTTTACTTGTTAAGTCCTGGGAACATCCACCAGAAAGGAACCTATACCGCCCTCAAGAGCAGTAAGCACTTCATGTGCTTCCATATTTAAAAATGTTAGAGGATTGTTTCTTAAATTAATAGTCTTGGTTCACAATAAAGGGCCACAAAGTAGAGTATAGATGGACAAAGCATTCCTGAAAATCACAAATAGTTGTTCACCTATCAGCTGCATCTCTGTATTTTGTCCCCCCTGATCCTTTTATCTTCCCATTTACAGATACACCAGTTGGAAAACCACTACTCAATAACCTCCTCACTACAAAAATCCCAAAGGTGGTCTCTAAACCTATTACCTTTTCATCAAACCCTTGTGGTGTACATGAGGGTTCTGTGTGTATCAGTTTTTCAGTGACTACTGAAAAAACAGTGATAGTTGCATGTTTCCCCTAAAATGCTTTATTTTATGTATTTACTCCACACATTCCTACTTCCTTAAGAAAAGTTGGTTTAAATTATAATCTTGCTTGAACAAGACCATCAGAACTTACAGAAGTGAAACTGGTTGAGCTTTATACCTGGTTCCCAATACTATTAAAGCTTTCACAAAACTGGCATTTCCAGTTCAGACTGCTTTTCCAAAGCCTTTCAGATAGTCTTTACAGAGAGAAGACTTTTCTAACGTCACCTCAGAAATGGAACTAAGAAAAAGGCTATTATATCTCATCTCTTGGCTATATTAAGCCCTCATTTGAAGCATCACTTTGTAACAAAACTTGCTAGCTATGCAGAATAAATCAATGGCTATTAAGGCTTTCAAGTTATTAGCTTATTACAGTAGCTACTTTTTAATTCTTACACTCTGCTTCAATTCCTAAAAAGGCCCAGTGTGTCGTAGCAGACAACCCAGAGCTGCTGGGAGATGGGAGGACAGCTTCACTGTTCTGACAGCTTCATTGTTCCAGAGCTCCTGGCTCCCTGGGAGTTTGACTCTCTCCTTTCCTTTTTTCCCCTTCCCTCACTCAGCTAAAGCCAGATGCAATCTGTGCTTCATGACAGTTAAGCAAATGGTTAGGCTAAAGTACTTGAGGCTGAGAGAAAGTGTAAATGGTTCTCATTATCTGCTCAAGGATCCAGTTGGGTGAACCTGTGCAGGTGGGTGTTTCAGTGGGAGTTGGAGGGGAAAAGGGCTTCATCATAGCATGGAACAGTGCAGTTAATTATCTCGAGCTGACATAATTGTTATTTTACAATGAAATCATAATTTGTCACAATAAATTGGAGAATGGCAGCTAGCTAAGCCAGCTTAGCTTTTTATGAAGTTTGTTTAAAGAAGTCAGCTAATCTGCTTAAAAATGTGGAAAAACATAATCATCAGAAACCACCAGTTCATCAAAGCACTTGAGTGTATTCTTGGATCCCCTGTGAAGGGCTTTTAAATTCATTTAAAATTATGAATGTGTGTAACTGCTTTGCTCAATCATTGCCAAAACTGCTGCAGCCAAAAACTCCCATTTGGTAAACATGTTTTAAAAAAGGTCAATTTTGCTTCAGTGAAGCAAAACTGTATGCAAACCAATGGCATAAAGTTCAGATCCACTCTTTAAAATGTGTATTAAAGCACCTCACAAGCAACAAATGCAGACCACCTCACAAGAAATACTTGTGTAAAAAATAAAAAAATAATGAAAGGTTGACACCCCAACGACAGGCGTGTTACTCTGCTATTGGTAGGGCAGAGACCTTAAGAATAAAGGTTTGGTTTCTGCCTACAATCTGTGTAGAAGAAGTGGTGTACAGGATCACTTCTGGTAACTATACACTAAGAAAGAATAATTTATGATTTACAAGCACAGTCCTCTAGCTAGGAAATGAGGGTTTTTTTTCTTTAGTGTGATGTGTCACTGTGAATCATAATGCAAATTAAATTATGATTGCAATAAACTAAAATGATAGTTATGGGAAAAACTGTAGCAAAAAGCAAAGGACTCAATATACAGTTAGAAATACAATATCCCTTTAAAAAAAAAACACAGAGTAAGAGTAAGGTAACAATGATACAAGCAATTTCTCAAGCCTGAGAATAAAGAATGGTAATGATCAATAAAACTTTAGAAAAATTATAAGCTGTTTTTCTTTTTTTAAAAAGGGATACTGCATCTTTAAAACATGTAAAATAGTAAGTCACCCGTATTCTACTTACAGATAGTAGGAGTAAGAATAGTAGCTCCTCCTGGCAAGCAAATCACAGACAGTGGAAAAAGAGAAGCAATGGTGAATGAAAAGCGTGACTCTGTCACATTCAGTAAAGCAGAGAAATGTGCGTTTAAAAAAAAATAAATTGAAAAATTAATGTTTCTTTGGTTAGCATTTCAACTTGCTCATGCACAAACTAGACTTCCTTTGCCATGCAATTAAAAAAAATACACTAGCATATAAAAATTATTTGTTTTTTAGAAAGATCACTTGAGAAAATTACATGCTGAAATTTCATTTATTGCCAAAAAAATTGAAAATTAAATGGACTGTGCATTTTCAACATGCAGTTAAGCATAATATAATGATTACCACCTAGATGTCATGACAAATGAACAGCTGTGTACAAATCTTGTGCAGTAAATATGCTTTTTACTTTTCAGTTACAAAAACTCAAGATTGCATTCATAAATAAATACATTGAATCAGAAGACAAATTTCACGTAATTAATTTTAACATCTTTATTGGTACACAGGTGTATATGTATATGTTTGTATGCGTACTATATGTAGCTATATGAGTACACACATTTTAAAGGATGCACGTTCACAACAGATACGTGTGTACTGACATATATACCACACATTTCCTGGATGCAAACATATTTTTTTCTATTTTAAAATCTTACAGTTGGAAATGCTGATATAGTCATGCTAAGCATTAAAAATATGGAAGGTAAACAAATGGAAGGAAATGAAGGACATTTGGAAACAGTCCAACAATTACTTAGAAAACAAAAACGACATTGCTTGTTAAAGATGCAGTATCCCTTTTCTTAGTTGATTTGATTACTCCAGTAAAACTCTGTAAGAGCTGTTAAGAGCTTAATTCCAGAAAACTTCAAACCAATTTGTACAAAATGATCAGGCAAAGCCTAAAACATCTCAAGCTCATGAACAAAACTGTTTAGTACTCCGTTTTTCAATCAAATGTAATGCTGCATTTAATCAGACTGAGATAGTGATAGCTGTGCATATGACTCAATAAACTAATGCAAATGCAGAAACCATTGTTTTATAGACTTTTCCGTGTCATAAGCCGTGGTCAATTCAAGTACCAAAAGGGATACTACATGATGGATCACTGAATATGCACACTACGGAAGATGATTCGAATGGATCGGTTTTCAGTCCCACCACAACTAAGTGAAGTGTCTTTATGTATGTGTGAATGTGTCAGGGTTTTTACAGCTGTTCCTTGGCTTCACTATGTGGATTTGGCCCTGATTCACTAGACAGGTTGATTTAACTCAGGTATATAAAGGTTTTCTATGCTTTTTGTAGGAAGCCTTGACTAAAGCTAGCATTAAAAAAAACCTGCCCACTTTCCCTAAGCAGAGGGGAGGGCATGGCACACCTTTAACATACACCACAGACAACCAATTAAACTATCATGATGAAGAATTGCCAAACATTAAAGATTCATTAAACAGGTTAATTTCTCACCTATTTTGAATACAAAAGAGTACAGGCGTTTAGAAATGTTATGTGCTTTAGAATGATTATCAAGTATCATTCCTAAGAGAGTACTGACTTCACAGGTTCAGAGGAGGGAAGGGGAAAAAAGGGGAAATTTTAAAATAACATTTCACTGACTTGATTGATTTACTTTTATCAAACAATTCAAAAGGGAAAGTAAGTGTCTAAAAGGACTCAGAATACAAGAGGTAAAAAGGATATGAGAAATGAACACATTGAATTTTAAGCTTTTTGTTACCTGCAAAACTAGTCAATCCCATCTGGAAGAGACTGACATTATATACTGGTAGACAGTTTCTTTCTCTCTCTCTTTCACACACACACACAGAGTCCTCTATTATATGTAAGGAGCCTACTGCAACACGTGCTGAGAAGATGATAATCTCCAGCACATAACTTGCAGTAAAGCTATAAAATAGAGAGTTCTCCCTGAAAGCTGAAAACCAACCTTTTTTTCTTGTTTTTCAAAAGCTGTGTAAATAATGAAAATTGGCTGACTGTATGTATTGTTTTTGGGTTTTTTTTGCATATGATGAGTTCTACCTTTTTGCATATGTATTAATTCTCAACCACAGAGGTAAACAACAGAGAAAAGTAAAAACACTTTTGGGAAAATCACGTATGTAGCTAACTAACACAGAACACTATAAGCATACCTAATGTTTCTAATGCAGATGTTTCTTCTCCAAGTTATATATCTCCAGGGATAATTGTAAAGAGGCAATAAATTAAAAAAATCTAATGCAAACCAGCAATTATAACATGTAGAATGATCTTAGGTACAATTTAAACTTCTTTTTCCTTAATCTTAAAAAAAACACAGCAAGCTGCATTTCAGAACATTTGCAACATTTACAAATACACTTTTTATTAAGACTTCTGCAAAAGGCAAGGGAATGCAATGCACAAACCACTGAAGGACAAAGGTCTCGTTCTGCCCGGGAGAAAGCAGGTTGTGCCCTGCGAAGGGGACCTGCTAGGGAGGGGGTGCACAGAAGGAGAGAAACAGGTTTTGATGCTATAACTACCCATTTACAGAGCTGTATTAGGAACTTTTATGCCAGGTTAAAAGAGTTGCAACTACTGGGAAGTCGAGACTTTTAAAAACTGATGGAGCAAAGGGTAGCACAATTAACTACAGGTAGGTACATTCAGATGTAAAGTTAGCTTTGTAAATCGCCAGAAGATGGCGATATTGCTTACAGTCTAAGAAAGTACTGAAAAAAATTAAAATTCATTCAAATTAATACACTTTAAAACAATTTCATGCACTAAGGACACTACATAATTTTACAGTGATGTGGTATGACTTTTAAGAAAAAACTCCAGGTTTACAAGAGCATGAATAGAGGTATAAAATGACATTATTTTGCAAGTTGGATAACGTACAGATACAAATAACTCATTAGAGCTGCATATAGAAAATCAAATTCATTAAGTGATCACAACAAGAAAAGTGCAGTAAGTTGTTCCTTTTTTCTTTGCTTAAAAAAAAACACAAAAAAGGTACCATGACTTTCAATTCCACTCATTTTAATATTCTGTACATTCCTCCAACATCAACTCAAAACTACTTGGAAATAAATGCGAAAATGTATACCTATAGGATCCCAAATATAAAGAAATCCTCTCTTTAAATCTATCATAAGAATCACAGAAAAAAAAACCCCAAACAACAGGAAACACTAAGAACTCATCCAAAAACTGCTGTGAGCTACTGCTCCTGAAACTTTTTTTTTTTTAAAGACCTGTAAAATACACCCATTTAGTTACTGCTTGATATAGAGGAAAAAAGGGATCAGCACAAATAGTTTTCTTACCTTTTTTTGACGATCAATATGACAACAAGGAGAAGCAGGATGAATACCAGAATTCCAGCACTTATTCCTGCTATTTTCACCACTCGATCTGTTTGTTTAGCTGGATCTGGAATCACTTCAGGCTCTTCTGTTGCTGCTGCTAAAAGAATAGAAAAAAGAAGTTGCTTAAATGTGTGAGCACTAGAGACAAGAAAAGCATCACTGGTTACAATTTCCAACTTAGGTATGTGCTTTGATACCATTGCCAGAATATAGACATGTGTATTACATGCACCATATGTATTTATACATCCACATATATGTATATAGAAACACAAAAAATTTCAATCTATATGCCATACATTTACAACACCAAGTATATTACCATACAGGAGTGTGTACAGGTGCATATATTTTTTTTCCAAAAATCTTGATGCATACAGAAGTGTATATGCATTCGGATTTCCAAACAAGTTACTGTACTGCAAAGCAGAAGACAAAGCAAAGGCAATCTACCAACTAAATCACCATTAGTACCTTTAATGCTATCTTTTCAGGTATTAAATATGGAATATTTAACACTGAAATTATATTAAGTCACAAACAGTAAAATAAACTCTTTTCCAAGCCACAGACAGACAGCACCCTAAACTCTAGTCCTTCTCTCATCCATGCAATTTCAGTCCAGCTTTGTATATGAATTCACCTTACAGGATATAGCCTTAGCATTGCATTCTACTGGGAATTTTGATTCTCCAAATAAGACCATTCACAAAGCCAAGCATAATGTCAGCAGTAGTTTTATTTTTGTTTAGAGGCCATAGGGAAAAAAATCTACAGAGATGGAACCACTCTGTAACACAGCTGGGTGGGCTGAGGCTGCAAGTGACAGCAGAGAGGAAACCAGGATACTCATGAAAGCAAACAGCCATTCAGTCTTCACCTCTGCATCACAGCCTGGCCTACAAAGGATCAGGAACATGGGCTTTTTCAGCCTGGCACAAATATAAAAAATCATAAATAAGTTTCAGCCAGGGTTAAAATTCCATGAGGTGTTCACTTGTAAAATAGGAAATACTATTCAGTTCTCTAGTTTTTACTTTCTAAGGCTGAGGCTTAGCACTTTGCCTTTCCCCTGCTCTCAGGCACTGCCAGGTCTGTGTGCTTGCTTTCTCTCTTGCTGACCCTTCCTCTCTCAATCACCACCCAGCATGCAGGAGATGCCACTTAACCTCTACCTCCTCACAGCAACTGCATGTGGAGTAGTTACAAGATGTTGGTGTCATTATGCCTACACTATTACAAAGAAAACATCCTTTACTTAGAAACTAGAAGGCTTCTCAACACACAACCAAAACCAGAATGAAAAATGAGGTGAAGTCACACCAGACAAAAACTATCATTCCCCCAAAAATCTGCTCCACGGGCCTTTTAGAAATCCAGTGTAGTCAGCACCAGAGATAATTGGTATCTAACACTTTCTAGTTTTATCCATGTTTCTCAGACCATTTTAACTTCGGTTTCATCTGTATTACCTTATGAGGGAAAAATCATGCTGATGTTTAAAATCACTCTTTCTTACTTGTTTCTATAACCTCTATCTCAGCAGAATCTGAACCACTTAGTACCAACTTACCCTCAGAACAACCTTTTGAGTTGTGATCTCTTCCAGACACCCATGCAAGAGCTAGGCAGACAGTGAGAAATCTAGCAGTGCTTTGAATGTAAAACTTAATGATTAAGGCTTCAACATCATAATAATCTCACTTCCCAACAGCTTGAACCCTATCTGTTGAGAAATACTAAATGCTTCCTACTTTGTGTGAAGACATGCCCACACGCACACTTGCATACATAAACTGTGTGGACTAAAAACTACATATTTTATTTGTAGTATGTATGTTGTTGAGGTGTCCTGGGCTGAGAGATCAGTGATGTGTGTATGTGTAGCTGTGTGCATACAACACATGCTTACACACAACCTAGAATTAATTCCAGATACACATACAATGCTGTCTAACAGAGGAAACAAGAGAGATGACTTGAGGTGGAACTAGAAGTTGTTCAAGATCCTCAATGCTTAAAATGAATCAACTCCCAGTCTACTATTAGCTGGGCTGGATGCGACAAACACAAATGAACATTTGTTAAACAGTAGATCCAAAAGGCCAATCAGTAGAGTCAAAAGATCAATCAAAGCTAAAATAAAAATAGCTTTATATGCTAATGAGAAAAAAAGCCTTCTGTCTGCTGTATGAAGTACTGAGAAATAGCAAGGACATGGAAAGGGTAGACAGGGGAGCATGCAGGAGCAGGATAGTCACTGTGTCTGGAATTGCCATGAGTGCAATGTGAGTACAGCTGGGTATCTCTGACCTAGCAAAGTAAGAATTACTCAAGCTGAAAAATAACTAAGGCTTGAGCAAGAGATATAGTTGTGTGGATGGAGATTTAAGCCTGTCTTTGAGAGATTTCAACATATGAATCACAAGGACTAGATGTGACCTGAAGATGGACTTTGAAAGTTAAAGGCTCAAAAATACCTTCAAAAGTACAAGCTCTGGGCCTTGATCAGGACAGTGGCATTTTCACAGGAGTATTAATGAGAGAGGAGAGAGCAGAGGGAAAAGACTGAGAGACCTGTCTCACACTTCCTTAGAGAAAGATAGAACCCTTCCTGCTTGATAGAGCAAGCTGCAGTGTAGGTGCTTCTCACAGTCACATTTAAAATTATTGCTTAGCCACTCACAATGTTATTTCATTCAGAAAAGTTACCTATGAGAAACAACTATAGACTTCTCAGAAAATCTGAGGAGAAAAGCTTTAATGCTGCTTATGAGATAAAGCTAGTGGCCACTGGAAATGCACCATGGAGTCCTAAAATAGTGGAGAAAAATTATATTGAATATTCATAGACTAAGCATATAACCAGTGGTTGAGACCCCTATATCCAAAATGATAAAATCTATGGGCAAAATGCTACCCTCCTCTCCTCAGTGTCAAAAGAAAAATTGCCTTTGACTTAAATAAAGCTTAGCTTATTATATGTATGTTTCCAGCAACAGTTGTCTAGACTAAATGTTACATTAGGGGAATATATGAAAGCAATTACAGATATAAATTACACTGTAATTTATTTTATATGTATTTGCACTGTATGCAAGGAAGTATTTTATTTTGGGGAAGCCACTGAATGTAGCATAGATTCATTTCATGAAACTTATGAATTGGAAAGTATTTCCTATTACTTGTGTTTTAATTTTGATAGTTCAAAGTGATTTGTAATAAGGATGTGTGAGTTTACGTATACACAACCTAAGGATACAAACACAGAAACCATGTGCCTTTGTGTTAAACTTACATGTCCAAGTCAGCGTCTCTTGGTTGCTGATTGCACAAGGACTGCCGCATCAAGTGAAATTCTATTTACTCTGAGAATTTCCTTTCTCCACCCTCTAGGCTACAAGACTGCAAAGATTTTTCTTTCC